CAGGGCTGTGCGCCCAGGTAGTTCTGACCTGCTTCGAGGTTAGAGTCCCTCCCTAGGAAACTCCGAACCTGGAGGGAACAGAAGGCGCACCCAGGGAATGCACGGAGTGGCCTCGACCACTAGACATAAACTGGTCATAGACCACGTTCTGCTGGTTCAGAGCAGGAAAAGACAACTAAGAACTAAGTCACAAATAGAAACAGCAGCTTATTTTATTTTCTGGTTTGGCCAAAGAGAGATAGGTATATATGTACGTAATCATCTGCAGGAGCAAACCAGAAAACAAGACGGCTCCTTTTATGATTCCAGCCCTCACCCAAGATCAGGTAAGAGTTTAAGTCCCCAAATTTCCTTCAGGATCCGTCCCAAAGCCCACCTGCTTCAGCCTCTGATGGCTGTCTTTCCTTTAAAACCCCTGTAGGAGTATGCACCACTCACAGGTTGCTAGAGAAGACAAAACAATTGCTAACTAGTATCAGTGCACCTGCACGTTGTCCACACTGAGGTGCCCCCCGCCCCCGCCATTCAAACAGCCTCAGGAGGACTCCTGACAGGTTTGCCCAAGGTCAGGAATTTTCCCTAGTCTCCAAAGTCCTCTTCTCATTCTCTTGTCCGTAGACAACACTGCCTTCATGAGTGAGAAGATGAAGGCAAAACTGAACGGTCTCCTCATGTCATCCCTTAACTTTGGAATTTCACTGCACACTCCTACATTTACTCTTCCTTCTCTTTTCTGCTTCAACATGAAAAGTGCTTCCAGGCGTTCTCAGAAGCCTTATCTGGAGTGACCCAGAACAGAAAACAATGCAAACAACCGTGCGCAGGTCAATGGAGAAGTAAACTGTGGCGCATCCACGCAACGCAACAGCACCCAGAGAGGGAAGGAGCTACGGACAGACACGATGGTATGATCGATGTAAGGATGATGCTGCTGAGCGAAAGATGCCCAACGAAAAGAGCCAATTTTCGTTTGATGCCAGTGACATGAAATTCTAGAATCTACAAACTAAGCTACGGTGAAAAGAGCAGATCCGGTGGTTGCCTGGGAATGAGGGAGAGGACTGGGAGGGGGCGATGACAAAAGGGCAAGGAAGGACTTTGGCACAGTGTAGACATTCACTCCCTTGACAGTGGTTCCGCATATATGTATGTTTGTAAAGACTTAACCACAGTGTGCATTACGAATATGCAGTTAGTGCATGCCAATAAGGCTACAAAAATTCTTTTTGTTTGTTTGTTTTTTTTTTTTTCCTTAGGTGACCTACTCTATCCAAATACCCTTGGCCCTATTCCTTCTTATCCTCTCTCTAAAACATTTTGTGCCTCTCTTTCCTGAATAGTTATCCCCTCCTATCTCTCGCTTCCTTTTCTGTCTGTGCCCCGTAGGGACTTTATCATCGGCATAAATCAGTGAGCCTAAATCAACTGCCCCCCAGACTGCTTTCTCTCTTTGCTCCTTGGCTGCTGTCGTGATGGGCAGTGGACACCCAGCTATTCCTCGGCTCTCATCTCCCTAGCACCCCTTCCCACTACCCAAGCAAAACTGCTCCTCCCGGTATTCGCTGATACCCAAACCACCAGCTTCGATAATGTCTTCTCAGTGTACACCCTTGGGGTCCCCACGGCCCCACGCACACCTGCCGGAACCCCCAATCTGAATATCCTGTTGACGGCTTATTCAGTAGCTCCTCTTCCTCCAAACCTCACCCTTTCAAAGGTCTCCAGGGCTCTGTGCTTGCCTTTCTCTTCTCCCCCAGCACTTGACAAGCATATCAGCATAAGCCTCTCCACGCAGCGGCTCGGCTCGCTGCACTGCCTTTAGCTCCGACTACTCCCGTCGGCGCGGTTCCTTTAATGAGTTGTTCTGGAGGCACCTTTAGTCCATGATGCTGGTGAACCGATCCTCATCCAATGCATTTGGGTAGGAAGCTCCTCCGGGGCCCCAGGGCTGAGGCTCTCAGCTCAGCCTCGGCCACTGAACGAAGATGCCACCACGCAAGCCAGGGAGAGGGAGGGACTCCCGGGGCTCGCAGGGGACCAACCCAAGAGATCGTCACGGACCTGCTGGTTGTGACGACGAGAGCCTGCACGTGCAGGCAGAGAACGGAGGTGCACAAAGCGGCAGGGACGGGTCCTGCTGGCCCCTGACGGACGCCGCCAAGAACCAGGCTGTGCACAAAGTGAACCTTCCCCCCCTGCACTGCGTGCTGTGAATGCGCCTACACGTGTCCTGCTGAGCTTCCGGTCCCGCGTCACGAGAAGCCTCTGCAACGTACCCTCCTCCCATGACGACGCTGAGGCAGAGCCCTCGGAAAGCGTCTTTTCCTCCCGTCACCACGATGCATAAAAAAAAAAAAAAAAAAAGCCGTGAAAAAACCTCGCTCCGGAATCTGGTGCGTTACTGCAGTTAACAGAGCACACGCCGAGTTCTCTAGTGGACCCACATCTCTCCAAGCGAAGAGAACTCGTGGGCTCTTCGCTTTATCTCGCTGCAGAGCCCGGGCACGGTGGACGCTCAACGCGCCATTTAAATTTAATTGTGTTGTTCTCTGAAGTGCTCTTTTCGCAGGACGAGGATGTCCAGTATCTCGGCTTCCCAACTGGATAAGCGAGGCATCATTAAATCTTTCTTTCTACATCTCATTTCGTATCTCTTCCGGCTTAAACTCTTTTCTATCGCTTCCCATGTCTGCTCACTTGGAATCCCAAGCCTTTGTTGGACCCACCTCACCTGTAGGATATAAAATCCCTGCTAATTGCTCCTACTTTATGTATTTATTTAGCCACAGCAATCTCAAACCCCCTTCGCCATGCCCTAAACACACTGGCCTCCCCTTAGGGCTTGGAATGAGCTGAGATCTTTTCAACTGTAGGACCTTTGACCTTGGTATTTCCTCTGCCTGGAATGCTTTTGTCTTCTCACCTTAAATGTCATCTCCTTAAAGAAAAGTTCCCAGACCACCTGTTTGCAGGTAGCACCTCTGTTCTTTTTGTTATCTTCCCACAACACCCCTATTTTCCTTAAGGGCATCTACCAACACTTGGCGGTGAGCACATGCTCACTCTTTGCCTCTCGTGCTAAGTTACAAGAGAGAAAGATCATGATGCTTGGTTCACCTATATCACCTACTATAAGTCCAGGCCCTAAAGTTGCTTAAAAAGTATTTGTGAATGAATTAATGAATCTTTCACAGCCATTAGCTTAATAAATAATGTCTGATTAGAGCCTTTTTTTTTTTTTTTGCTTTAGTCTAAAAATAACCTACCCAGACACTACTCCCACTTATTATCACAACATAACCAGCAAACTGTGGACAACAACAGCGTCACTATCACAGGTAGTCAACACAAAAACAATAAACACCTGCCAACCCAGCAAACCCATTTAATAAAACCATCCTTAAGACGCAGCATCCAAAGACAAAACGGCCACGGCAGCACAGCCCAAAGTAGGAGACAACTCAAACGTCCACCCGCAGATGAACGTGGTACCCAAAAAAATGTGGTGTATCCAGTGTCGTATTTGACGTACATGGACCCGACAACATCACACTGAGACAAAGAAGCCAGACACCAAAGGCAGACTGGTGGTTGCCAGGGACTCTGGGGAGGCAGGAGGGGAACAGTCTGCTTAATGGGTACGGGGTTTCCTTTTGGGGCGTGAGAACGTTGTGAAGCTAGAGAATGGTGGTGGTTGCTCTACGTCGTGGATGCGCTCAATGCTACTGAACAGTGCACATTAAAACGCTTAAGACGGCAAATTGTACACGATAGTTATTTTCGCAAAATAGATTTTAAAAGGCGATGGTGATTAAAAACGTCAGAGTGGATACTATTTCTTAAAATCTCCAAAACTAGCCTTAAATGAACGAGGCACCAAGTACCAAAGTCAGTCGGCGGTTACTTCTTATGATAGGAACTAGACAGCGGTTCAAACTCACGCACTTCGTCACAAGTGCTGGTTTTCAAGAGGCCCGAGCGCACAGCGAAGAGCAGAATTGCCTTGCACCTAGAAAATGCTCCGGCCCAGGGGCTTGGTGTGCACAAGCTTCTAAAGAATTCTGCAGAACAAGGTTTCCCAACTGTGTGGTCCACATAGACGCTGTGATAGGCATGATTATTTTTAGACATTACACACATGAACACTCTAATTCTAATATAATTATTTTTGTTCAGGGTTATCTTTGATGAATGGCCAATAACACTAGTTTTTTTATTTATAGTGATAAAATATTTCTGCTGCTTGTTTTAATCCATTTGCGTGCAATAAAATGGACTCTTTCTGTTGTACAAAGTTGTATCGCCGTCGCCATGGAGATACGGAAGCGTGCCCTTGTCCGCCAACATGCTTTCGTGCTGCTACCCCTCTGTAGTTCACACCGCTCCCTACTCTTTGAGCCATCAGTAAAAAGGAAGATGCCGGGGACAAACACAGGGACACGGGTGAATTCTCATACGCATCAGCTAAGTTAAAGGAGCCAGACTCACAAAGTCGGGGCGGGGATAGGGAATAGCCGCAAACAGTCGTAACATTTGCTCTTAGGGTGATGGAGAAGTTCCAGAATTAGATTTGGGCAATGGCTGCACAACTCTGCAGATACACTGGAAAGTCAGTGTGAGTTGCACACCTAAAATTGGTGAATTTTACAGTATGTCAATTATAACATCCACAAGGATGTTGCAAAAAAGAAAAAGATTCTATTAGGAGGGCATTCCGGGTAAAGCAAAACTATACGGAAAATAGATGGACGCTTTCTTTTACAAATAAATGCAGTTCACGGAAAGCGTGTTGATTTAAATAAACAGCAGGAAAGAATACCGGTAGATGGGGTCGCCTCTGGGAAGCTGCCATTGCAAGGATGGTCTTGGGGACTCATTTGCTCGCCAGAGACCTTTGGTAGACAGAGGTGCACCCAGCCCCGCTGTCACTCCCAGGGCACCACCATGCCCCTTGGGGGACACCCGCCCCAGCCCAGGCCCCCCGGGAAGCGCCCACTTACTGTGGCAGTGCCGGAGACAGTCTGTGCGCTCGTGTCCGCCGGGCTCGGCTCGGAGTGGGGCTGGGCGGGGGGGTACAGGTTTAACGTGTGCTCGGGGACGGTGGTCTGGCCGGTGTACTCTGGCGCGGGGTGGGGGTGAGGGGCCGTGTATTCAGCGGGGATGCCATTCTGCGGGGGAGCGAACTGGGCCGAGGCGTAAGGCTGAGCCATTGTGTCAGGGGCAGCTGCTGCTTCCTGATTACCCTGGAAAATCAAAGCAGAGAGAGGAGGGAAAACCGTGAGTAGGCACCAAGCAGATCCTTGACTACCCCCTAGCCCCACGACGACTGTTCCCCGGACACCTTCTAGGAGCCAACAATCCCAGGTGACGATCACCAGACCCCATGAAGAAGTAGTAACTGCCCTGTACGCCCATTTCACAGATGCAGTAACTGAGGCTCCGAAAGATGAAGTCACCTTCCCCGAGTCACTCAGCCTAATACTCAAAGGCTGTGAGAGGATGGGTCCTACGGTACTGGATATTTCTGGCAGACCCTTTTTTTATTTCAGTCCCATTTTGGAAGCTATGAGCATGGAGCTGTCCACAGTGACAGCAGAACCTTGATTGGACACTTAAGGTGCCAAGAGAGATTAAAGTGGACGTGTGTGTTCTTGAGAGGAGAGACAATTTATCTAAGCATTTGAATTTAATCAAAGTTTTATGTGACTTGGCTCACATAATGGACACGGGAGGGTCCTTTCAATGGCCCCAGTGTGTGTGCGCATGTGTGTGTGTGTGTGTGTGTGTGTGTGTGATGTTCCCAGTGCCAGTATGAGGAAGCCAGCGAAAATTTAGGGCCTAATTAGGACAAAGATGGCCCTCTGCGATATCCCCATTGTAAGCATTTCTGAAAAATATTGGACCTAACGCTTAGCCTCATTAGCCGGTGCCTCTCTGTCCCTAATGCCCTGTCTTATGTTTTCACAGGCGCAGAGTGTTACGTAACAATTCACGCCTCGGATCTGGGCAAAACATGCAGTAGGATAACTACAGACAATTCAAAAAAATAAAAAAAATTAAGAAACACAACCAAAACCTGAATTCAAATGCTACCATTTCAGGAAACATTAATCTCTCTCCCCACCTCCACCCTGACAACTCTACCTCTCTACACACACACACCTGCACATACACACACACAGCACACACGCCTGCACATACACATAGCACACACACCTGCACATACACACACACCTGCACATACACACACACAGCACACACACCTGCACATACACACACACCTGCACATACACACACAGCACACACACCTGCACATACACACACACACAGCACACACACCTGCACATACACACACACACAGCACACACACCTGCACATACACACACAGCACACACACCTGCACATACACACACACCTGCACATACACACAGCACACACACCTGCACATACACACACACCTGCACATACACACAGCACACACACCTGCACATACACACTTACACATACACACACACAGCACACACACCTGCACATACACACACATACACACACCTGCACATACACCTGAACATACACACACACACACGCAGAAAGCATAAGAAATTGCAACCCAAAGTCTGAATTCCCCATGGTCTCAAGAGATGGAACTGCATAGTCAGAGAGAGAGAGAATGAAGAGAAAAAAAAACAAAAAAACAATAAAGCTTAGCATCGAAGCACGCCACATAGCTGCTTCTCCCATCATCTGTGGTCAATTAGATGTGACTCTAGCCCTGCTGTCACGATGTGAGGGTGACAACGCCGGGATGGCTCTCATCGCCTCGGTACCTGCCACCCAGCGTTCGCTCGAGAGCCGCCTCCTCTAAAGCCACGTGGGCCCCGCAGAGACGCGAAGAGAGAAAGTGGGGAGAGCAAAGTTTGCTCTCAGAGCAGCGCACAGAGCCGGCGCGTGTGTTTAGAGGGGACCCTAATTAGAACGTTAAAGATGACACTTGGAAGAAAACTAAGCTTAGGGTAAAGTTCAAATGTTTTACAAGAGAAAAACATTCCCATCCGGCTCTCTCCTCCCGAAAATGAGTTTCTCCAAACGCCTGCACCACCGGATGCACAAGCGCACGCGTGTTTCTCTCTCTGTCTGTAACGTTTTCCTGCAGCCACGGGGGCTGTGGACGGTCTGCCTGTGCCGAGGCTGGAGATCTGGATGGGAAGATTTAACCCCGTCTGATTTTGGGGAAGCCACAGAGGTTATTTAATAATTAATTGCTGGTGAGTCTCCACTCCTGTCTCGGCAAGGACAATACCCCGGATTCCTCCTCGGGGGAGTCCCACTCTCGGGCTGAGGGGCGCAGGGGCTGCTGAACCCGGCCTGGGAGTCACTGTAGGTACAGTCACGTGACACCAGCCTGTCACGTCGGAAGATTTCACCGCCAGAGTCCTGGACTGGGAGTAACGCCCATCCACCTAGTGAGTCAGTGAGTTAGGCCCTAGTCACTCCGCCTCTAAGAACTTGTCACTCCAGGATTTTGCTGCAGTTTGGGGAAGGACTTCTCTTCCCACGGTGATTGGCAGCTATAAAAAGAACCTAAGCCCGGAGCTGCCCAGAACTGCCCCTTGCAGAGGACCTGCCTATAGCTGACACCAATGCAGAGAATGAAGCCCCAAAAACTGAGAAACAGAAAGGTATCAACTGTGTCTTGGTGACATCACGTGACATCTTGGATCCTGCTTTACCTGCGGTTAGTAACGCCCCAGTTTGTTTCAGTTACACAAATCAGTAAATGTCCTAATTTTAACAGCTTTATTGGAATGTCATTAACATAAAAATTATATACATGTAAGGTACATAATTTGATGTTTTGATATGTGTAGACATCGTGAAATGACCACATTCCAGGTAATTAACATATCCGTCACTTCTGTGTGGTTACCATTTGTGTGTGTGTGTGTCTATGTGCACTGAGATTTAAGTTCTATCCTTTTAGCACATTTTAAGCATACAATACAGTATTTTTAACTCTCATCCCCAACCTGTACTTAGATCTCCAAAACTTATTCATCTTGCAAAACTGAGAACTGGTACCCTTGTCTTATTTTGTTTAAGCTAGGTTTTTCTGTTACTTACAACCAAAAGGGTCTTGACTGATTTAAAAACAAAAATCCCTCTGCTGTTTTCTAATTTCACTAGCATCTTTTCCTTTTCTGGGCTATTCAAGGAACATTTCCTAGCGCACAGAAATTCCCTAGTGAGGCCACTTCCCGACGGCTGACCCAAAGCCCCAGAAATGCTGGGATCTTAAGAACTGTCCAAAGGGAAGTTCATAGTGCGGGGGTCGGCTTCTGCCCAAAGGTCTGTTTCTGCCTCCCTGACCTCCCACCTGGCCCATCCCCGAACTGAAAGGCAGACCTGTGACAACTCCAGGTGTGGCCGCGTAGGGGAACACAGACTGATCACACGAACAACCGCAGAGAGAGGTCACACGAACACAAGGGTTTCCAGCCGAAAATGCTTCCACCGGGCACACACAGGAGCAGGTGGCTGTGCATCACTGCAGAGCGGTTTCAGGAAGAGTGACCCGTTTCTACAAGCTCTACAAGCTCTTGCAAACCAGCAAGGGCTCCCTGCCAGGATCTGAGCTCTCTGTGTGTTGGGCAGAGAAGGGGCCTGCCCTCAGGAAGCTCACGGTCGGTTAAGGGAGAAGAGGAGATCCATCCTCTCGACACGACCATGTCTTCACTTTCACAGACCCCCTCTGCTTGTAAAGCCCCCCCCCATTTCCCCGGTCCCTTGCTTGGCTAGTCCCTGCTCATTCAGCTCCAGATCAAGAGCCCCCTTCAGCAAGCCTTCCTGGGCACTCAGACTAGTCAGCTGCCCACCTTCCATGCTCCGCCGCAGCGGGTGGCCAAGGCTCACCTAACTCCAAGCACTGCCGTCCCCTGTTTGTCTGCGAGCTCCCTGAGGGCAGGACGCTGTGCCACATTCCCTGTCCCATCCCCGGGATCCAGCGGCATTCTAGCCGAACAGCAGACACTTACATGTGTCTGCAAAGAGAATGTGCGCTTGGAAAATGAACTCTGGGCTCCACAGAGCTTAATCTGGCAGCAGGAGACAGACCGGGAGGTGTGAGAGCAGACTTGGCAAATGACTCATGGGGCAAATCTAGCCCGCTCGTTTTTGTAAATAAAGTTTCATTAGGACGCGGCCACCATGCTCATTTGTTTATTGTCTATAGCTACGTCTGTCCTACAAGGACAGGGTTGAACAGTCGTGGCAGGGACGACGCAGCCCACAGCCTCGCAAACTGTCCACTCTCTGGCCCTGTGCAGAAAAAGTTTTCTAATGGCTTTGGCAGAATATCCTTTGACGTGGGAACACCAGGTAAGAAGCCACCCTTGCATAAATAGTTTAGGAAGGCAGTGGAGCTGGCAGCAGATCAGGAAGAGAGAGAAAGGGGGTCCCCTGCTACCTAAACCAAGGAAGGGTGCTGGCTCCTCTTGCAGATAGACAGTGCTGAGGGTGATGCAAAAACAGCGAGTCAGAGTCTTTTTTGGAATTTGCTTTTCATCACCCGACCTCTGACCTATAAACACAGGCACAAACAACAGGCTTCGAACTCGGCAGGAGGCGGCTCATGAGGACAGGTACAAGGTGGCCACTTCTTCTCACCAGTGCTCAGAAAACAAGGTCCTGGGTGGCAGGCACCATGCTGGGCACTTTACACCAGTAGTTCTTAAAGAGGTGCTATGGCTCCCGGGGGACATTAGGCAATGACTAGACATTCAGGGAGGATATGCAAATGGTATCTAGCAGGTAGAGGCCAGGGATGCCACCAACCACCCTACAGCACACAGGACAGTCCCCTCCACAAAGGATCGTCCAGCTGCCAACATTAACAGTGCCTACAGCCCTTACTTTGCATACGCTGCGTCTCCAATCTCACTTTACTTTGTGGTCTAAGATGTTCCAGCCCAGAATTGGGCAGTTATTAGACCAGGTTATAGCCGCAATTAGTTCCCAGGGAAGCCATAAGCCATCTCTCACGTGGCAAGAGAACCACCCCGGTGGGGAGTTTGGGTCCCATTTTAAAATAAACCAAGCCCTCTCTCTCACCTACACCATCGACCCAAGACCTGTTTGTCATCTGTCGTTGTGCTGCTTCCTGTTGGCAAGTCAGGTGCCAGGGTATTCGATCCAAAGATGCCACAGCTCCATTTGCCAGAGTAGGTGGGCGTCCCAGCCTGGGAAA